CTTTGCGAAGCGCTTCCAGCTCATGACTGAAAGCGAGGTCAACTCCGACGTATCAGGTGGAGGGTACTCTAACTCCATTTTCTTGTACTGGTACCCAGCCGGCCCGCGTCAAGACGTTCAACGTCTCGACGGCCACTGTCGGCTCTTGTGGCTGCCCGGCAGACATACCTTGAAGAGTCTCGGTCCCGGACCGAGACTTACGCTGTGTCTTGTGCTTGAGCCGTCGCTTCTTCTTGTGAATCCCGGATTCACTTGCATTTCGTCCAGGCCCGGCCATGGACGAATTTTCTTTGATACAGCAGGCAGACATTCCAGTCGGCGGGCGACCGCCGGCGGGTTCTTGTACCCGCGGGCACGCGTCATCAAGCCCGGCTTGATCGCGCCCTGCTTCGTGCAGCCCGGCTGAAGCTTCAGTGCTGGACGTTTGCAACCGTCCACACAGCTTGTCGCATCGACTCCCGGAGTCGATGCATTGTCGTCACCTCGACGCCTTACGGTGGAGCAGTGTGTCGCAACTCCCAGAGCTGACACACTGTTGTTACCTCGACGCCTCACGGAGGAGAACTTTCTCTATTTTGTTATCGAGCGTGTGTCCACTCCCGGATTCACCTCGACGCCTTACGGCAGAGAACTTTCTGGAAGTGTCTGGTCTGGGACCAGACACTCTTTTTCTGTCAACGACTCCCGGAGTCGTTGACAGCTCGCGCTCCTCGCGCTGCGATCGGAGACAGCGGCGCGAGCCACTGTCTTTGAAGGAGGTTCGTATGCACCGTTAGGTGTATCTGCTGCACTAACAGGGCCAAGGCTCTCTGTTGCGCCGCGGGTGTCCAAAGCGTACGACCGTACGCTTCTCCCAGTCGATAGTAGGATCATGCCGTTCAAGCCACGGCATGCCCAACAACATGTCGAACTTATCGTCCAAGTCCAGGACGAGTCGTTCTTCCACAAACAAACGGTGTTGGTACGAGAAGCGTGCGCAAATAACGCGCTTCTCGGTCTT